AAAAAAAAAGGCTTTCCTCAGATTTCATTTCCCCAGTGACCTGTTATCTTATTGTTAAGTGAACAAACATATGCAATGACTTACAGGAAACATTTTGAAGAGCTGCAGCCTGTAAGCTGTCCATCCTTTTTTGGATTTGTAAATCGGTAAAGGAAATTTGACATTCCTGGCATACTGAGAAAACAGCAATACTAGGAAAATAGTTCTGTGGGGAAAGGAGACATGAACAGGAATTGTTAGCATCGATATGTTGAAGACTCATCTCACACACGCAAATGCAGAGTACTGTAATCTCTTGTGAACCCTCCAGTCCCAAGGTACACTTGAAAAATTTGGTGCCGAAAGCAAGACAAAATATATATATGGAGAAGGATGCTCTAATTATGAAGCCATTGTGCTTTAGGGTATCATAACAGAGGGGAAAAAGATAACAGGGCAGGGAGTCAAATTTAGGCCATAAGATTTTCAGAGATGGATGGGGCAGACACCGTTCTTCACAACTCCTCCAGCTTGTTCTGTCACTATCCAGGGCCAGGTCTGCAAGAAGCACCAAGTCTGGCCCTCCTGAGCAGGCGGCGGAGGGAACTCAGAGGTCAGACCAGCACACAAACAGAGCTTAACCAAGCTGGTATTTATATAAAGCCCACCACCTCCAAATCACTTTACAGCTTAAGTCAAATTAAAATCACCAGTTGCTAGTTGTAGACTCAACTGTTAAGGACTTCATTTTTTCAATGCATTTGCCTCGCAACATGTACAAGTAACATTTAACAACCTATGCATGAGTGCAGGGTAAAATGTACCTTGGTACAGCCTGGCAGCTTACTGCCTCTGCACCACTTCAGTTCCTCAAACAGGGTTTAAGTGGTACTTGGAGTGCGTGCAGGCTCTCTGGCATGTGAGTGTCACTTATTCAGAGAAGATATTTCTTAAGGTTAAATGCAGGAAAGCTGCACGCTCCGTTTGTGATGCTCAGATCCTGAATCCCCCTTGCCACTCCATTGTTAAAATCTTTACAGTAAGGCCTTTTTTCCCCCCCCTCAGAACAGACATTATTCAATTAACCAAACCAAACAGAACAAATACGTCTGCCCAAGTGAAACCAATATGCATCAACGCCACACAAGACCATACCTAGCTGGGGAAAATACAGCTTCGACAATTAAGAGACACAAGGCAATGTGAGTTCACAATCTGTTTTGCTCAACAGACTTTCACAGGGAAAAGACTAAGAGAAAAACCCTGTCTCCTTCCCTTACCTGAATGACAGGCAGCACAGAGCCGTATGCAAAATCCATTCCAACTCTCACTGACAAGTAAGCTGCTTTAGGAAAACACAAAGACTTTTTTTCTTGAGGCTAAACTCTGACTGGTATTTCAGAGATTTTCTTTTGGTCATAAAATGCTCATGCACTTAGGACGGTTTTAAAATAATAAAAATCTTTCTGCAGAGCATACATTTCAAGTCACTGTTGCTCATGCTCTGAAAGGAATAAACATTATATTCTACTCAACTTCTGAAGAGCTGAGAACAGTTTTAATGAAATTATGTGGCTATGTTCTTAACTACCCCAACTGCTGATAAGGCCATAGTCCGAATCTCAAGAAGCATGGTTTATGCTACTATGAACTATTACATTATCCAGGCCCTAAACAACATACTTGCCCTGAGACTGAGCCAGTCCAGCACCTGGAAGTCAAATGAGATACAGAACTACAGTTAAGTTAAGGGGGATGGTCAGGAAGGCCAAGGCAGAGATGGAACAGGGGCTGGCTTCCCGGATTAAGGCCAACAAGAAGTCCTTTTTTAAGTACATAGGGAGAAGAAAGAAGGCCCCAGGAAATGCGGGGCCCTTGCAGGACAAGACGGGGAATCTGGTTGTCACGCCAGACGACAAAGCCAACATATTTAATAACTTCTTTGCCTCTGTCTTCCTCAGTAAGGACCAGAACTGCCACCTCCCTGCTGGGCCCCCTTCGGGCCCCGGGGGAGGCTCACCTGGGCCTAGGGTGAGTGAGGATTTAGTTAGGGAG